TCTGTTGCAGTAAATGTTCAGTGATCTCAGTTAGAGGATATGTTCAATATTATTTACATGTTTTCTAGATTTTTCCTGTTTGAATAATGAATCATAAAATACATAAATGTTTAATTGATCATATAATTTATTTAATTTGTAATTTCTTGGTACCAACTAAAAAGTAGAGTAGAGCTGACAAATATGGTTCAGAAAGCCACATCTCAACACCTATTTCTGTTTTCTTATATTTCTCAAAGCGAAGAACAGATTCTAGTCCCTCCTCATTTATGATTTAATAATTAAAAGGTAGCCTCTGTTATAGAATTTTACAAATCTTCATAATAATTATTCAAGATTTAACATTTTAAAATTTACCAATATAACAGTATAGAATTAAATCAATTGTGTATGAGAATTAATGTTTAATGAGTGCATTAAAGTTAAGTAAAATCCTAAAAAATTATCTCTTTTGTGTATATTTTCTAAAAATAATCTTTTATAATTAAAAGAATTAATGAATAGATTAAATTATAAATTCACTTCATAGTTTAAAAAAAATTATCTGATAAATTTTAAATCAATGTAAATAAACTTTATTCTGCACACGTTTTTTCAAAGAAGTACCTGAATTGTAAATAAGTCATACATGAATTCTTTTGCATAAATTGTATCGGTTCATATAAAGAAACTTTTTGAAACAATGTTAACTATAGTTTTTTTACATTATTGGATCAGAAATATAAAAATTAAGTTCAACAATGGAAAATAGATAGGCAATAGGGAAGAATAGATTTTCTAAATTTTTGAATAATGAGTTGTTTATTTATTTTTCAGATGGGTAGCTGTGGAACAAGCAAATCTTATAAATATCAGGTATTTATACTACTTATTAATATTAAAATCTTTACTTTTGTAAATTGAAATTTGGTTTTAGTATTTTTATGGTTCAATATATTATTATTTTTGAGAAGACTGTTATATAATTTTTTTATAAGCTCTTGTTACTTTGTTATATCTGGTATTGCAAATAATATGATTATTTAGGTTTCATGTATAAATTTTGCTTTATTTTCTCCTCCATAGGGCTAGAACTTACGAGGAGTTATAAACTATAAGACAAGGCGAGTTAATTGGTTAGTAACTTAAGAAAATGAATCTAAAAAGGAAAAGAGAGTGATTTACCTTGTCACCTGTCTTCTAGCTTGTCATTCTTCGTAAGTTTTTTGGCCTAAAAGATTGGAATATAGAAAGGAAAAACATAGAATGAAAACATTGTAATTTTTAATTTTTTCCTTTTCAAGTCTTAATCCGAACCTGTCATGAATTTGTCAATAAACAGGTGTTTTGTTGTTGTGAATTAAGAAAATGACATTTTAGGTATGAGCAAGGATAGTACCCAGCAGCACCTCTTCCTGCTCTTTATTTACTTTCTTAAACTGGAAGGAGATTTCTCCTCCAGCTCTTTTTCAGTCACCTTCTGATGAGCCTGTCATTTATATGTCTATTGCTGTGTCCATATAGTTTAATGTGAATTTGAGAGCTTACCTACCAGATAGCTGATGTTATTAGTCTTAAAATCTTGGACTAAAAAAAATTGCAGTTTTTGTAAGTTCGTCTTTTTTTCTGAACCATAAATCTGTGAGTCTTATGTTCATATGGGTTTGAGTAGGCATGTGTATTTATTTGTTGTCTGATTTTCAATATTAATTTGAAAAAAATATGAGTATAGTGTGTTCATTCGCTTGTTTAATGTCTTTATTTTCATTTTGATGTATGTGCTTCTATTTTAAATATTTATAAATCTTAAATTATAAATTAAGATTAACTGTAATGAAAATACAATAATTAAACAAAGGTCGATTTTCAGTGATGAATTTAATATTTGACAGAACCCTGAAAAACTATGTCCTTATGACCATGATAGGCCTACTTGCTGGACTAGTTCCACCCACCAATACCAGTACCAGTACGGCCATGGGCTCTCTCCGTAATTCTGTTTTTTTTTTTTTTTTATTGCAATTAGCCATTAAGTAACATTTCATGAAATTAATCCTTTAAGTACTTTGATGAATTTTCTCTCTGTGAAATTAGAACACTGTTGACTTGAATGGGGGTATCGTAATTGGTATTGAATGGGAGTAGAATGTTTCTTATTATTTTTTTGTATGGGATATGACTGAGATACAAAATCCAAGTTTTCGACTTCAGCTTCCCCTTTCCCCTCTCCTCCCGACTCACTTTTGAATAGCCCCAAAACTGCTACATTTTCGCATTTTTTTTTTTTTTTCGGTTTTACCCTTTTTTATCCATGAAGCAGCACGTATTCGACAAATATCATTCTACACATTTTTTAAAAAGATTAAATATGCTACAATTTTAGACCAGAATCGGCTTGCTAAATGAAATATTATACAAGATACAGGTTTTCAAAGTTTGGACAATTTTATTTCCCATTTAAATTATTTTTCATGTTTAATCATATGTAATTGTCTTTTATCTTCAATGACCTATCTTATATGAGTCAGTGAAGTAAATATTCATTCATTTTAATATTTTGAAGGAGGAGTGATGGAGGGGGAGGGGGATGGTTTGGTGGATGGAAGAGCGTAGTCCTTGGGTCAGACCCCCTACCGTGCACGGTGCCTCCAAATCACTATAAATTGCATATCATTGTGTTCCTTGTAACGCTGTATTAAAAAAAAGCCAATATTCTCACAAAAAAATGACCTCACTGTCCCAAAATGGCTTCCAAACATGGCAAATTGACTACTTTTACTTGATTTAGGTTTTCGGTCACTGAGATTCAGCAGTTGGCTGTTGGCGTAAACTTGGAATTTGCATCTCAGTAACATCTCATAGAAGAAAAAAGGAAATCTTCTACCTCCCATTCAGAGCAACCCTCCTTTTCATGACAAGGTTACTTGGCTAACTTTGACATATTAAAGACCTGTTATTGTGTTTTTGCTTTGGTAAATAAGGTCGACATTTATCAAAGAACTTAGTGATTTAATTTCATGAAATGTTTTATGACTTTTTTTGAAGCCAGATTCAGTCAAAATTCAGAAAAATGTTCTTATAAGTTTAGCTCTTATAATAATGCACTACTAGTGTAGGTTTCAGTCAGTGGTTCACCTATTTTAACCGAATTTTTGTTGGTGAATCTTTTTCGAAAAATATTTAACATGTAACGCCACATTCATTCCAAACAAAGACGATATAACGACAAACGAAGACCTCTGAATGGAAAGAGCGGTAGACTGAACAGTTCATCAGAATTTGAGGATAAGTGGTCTAAAGCATAAGTAGAAATCACAGCTTTAATAAGAGAGTTATGAAAAAAGAAAGGCAACAGTTCAGAAAATAAGGATTCGCTTCGCTAAAAGTAATAGAAACATCTTCCTGAATACTGGGATACAGTCATTTTTTCGGAAGAATAAAAATACAACACAACTGATATCCGGGTCCTAACGCTGCCGTATGGGTACTTATTTATTTTTATTTTTTCTTCCTAAGTAATTTTCGTTATATTTAAAAAAAAAAAGCTTTCGGGCTGAAGCCCTCCAAAATGAAATCCTAAATCCGCTAGTGTCTGTATCGTCCTCCAGAAAGGAAAACTAAATATACCACGCAAAATTAAGGCTCCAATCAAAACTATGCATTTTTTTTTCCATATAAACACTACTTAGCACAACTAATGGAATTAAAAAAAAAAGTTTAAAAATAAAACTTTTTTTGTAATGAAATTCTAATCTTCTTGTAAAACTGTTTTTACAAGAAGCCTTAAACTACTTTTTAAATTTCAGTAGCTAAAAAAAAGTTACGTTCAATGAGAAAATAGTTGGTCCCTTCGTCCACCTTGAATGGATTGCCTGATTTTCGTATCTACATTTTGGGTAAATAAATTGGTTTAACAGGAATTTGAATTAAAAACGAAAGTCATGTAAAATCGTTAATTGACGATTTCCATAAGAAAAAGTACTAGTTCCGAAATAAAAAAAAAAAAAAATTAAAAATAGATCTTATCAGAACTGATTAAAAATAAAAGCTAACTTTCATTTTAAGCTCTAGCTTTTAGTAATGGTTATTGAATAAATGTAATCAATTGATTATAAAAACATAATTAATGCAAACAACAATTAGCAACAAAAATTAATATGACATCAATAAATTACCACTTTTTTTAAAATTTAATTAAATAAAAAAAATGTTGAATTTCATTTTTTTACTAAGAAGACGAGAAAATCTCTAGAAATTTTGTTAGGAAGGGTCAAAATTAATGTGGTGTGTAGACAAATAATCTGGTATATCGATAATATTACATTGCATGATTACAATTCGCTATCGATTTGCCCGACAAATGTTGATAATTTTGACGATGAATTTTCAATTAGATTCACGTATTTAGAAAGTAACGTAACTTTTTTATTTATTTTTTTATCATGACTATTTATTTACTATGCGTTTATGTGTATGTATCTCCTTAGCCCACATTTCTGTCTCTCTGTATTATTCTAAAGGGACTCGTTCTAGAATAAATAAAGTATTATTATTGTTTTATTTACATTAGCATCCACACCCCGGTAATCACTCAAGGGAATGTAGATGAACGTGAAAAAATTTACTTATTTAGAAAATTTCTAACAACCCTGCACGTATCTAGCAAGACTGCTTTTTGTGCTGCTCTTTAATGTCCCAAATCAAGTCCAAGGTTCTGTGTACCTTCTACGGTACTTTCCAGTATAAGAACATTTGAAGAGATGATTATTGGGATTATTTTTACGTTTACGAATTGATACAACGTTATTATTATTATTTAGATTAAGTAGCTTCTGTAGACACAACTGTTGTGAATAAAACACTTCTGAAATATATCAGTGGTGTTTAAAATTGTTGTTGATTTGATATCGAAACCCTAAAAAATCTACTAATAGCTTATATTAAGTGTATTTGGAATAGTTTACTAATTGATTTAACAATAATTCTAAGGTTTTATTTAAGAGATGATTTTAATTTCTTACTCTTGTGCTGCTTCGTAAATACGAATCATGTTGTCTTCCTCACAAACTGAAACGCTGGGAAATGAGGTATTTACATGCAAATAGGTCGTTTCTACAACAAAACTGACTGCGTTGTTTTGAAATGCATCCCAAGAAGCCATAATCAACAGTGTTGATCCAATCCATGACAGAATACAAAGTGACATCCATAGGAGCCTATAAGAATAAAAAGAATTGTACAGTAAAATAAAAATGTATTCATACATAAGCATCTGAACAATTTATGAATAGATTATGTATATTTGTCTTAGGTATGTATAAGGCCTTAGGTTCGAATCCCGGCTCATGGCAGAATGATTATTTATTGTGTTTCATCAGCCGTGGGGCGACCCTAGTGCGAGGAGACCCTCCTGGGGCACACCCAGTCTCAATGCAGTGCGTAATTATTAATTAAGGGGAAAATCTGGTGGTTAAGCGTGATCTTAGTCAAATAACCTCCTTGCACAACCGTTGGCTAAGAAACAGTACTTTCTCTAAATAGTACTGAACCCAAGACCCTTCATGGGTTGTAGTGGTACAGGTTTTTTTTTATGTATATCTGAGTGACCAGACAAATTTTGCCATGTTACCTTTTTAAGAAAAAAATTAGCCATGAAATTAAAATATCAATTGAAGACTTTATAGAGTGGAGGCCATTGCACTTTTTAACGCTTAATAATAAATTATCCTTCTCAATACTGCTGGTCATTGTGGAATCTTCGGAAATGAAATGGCAGATTTTCATATGAAACTAGCAGTAAAAGTAGGCCCTTGGAGGTATTATTTTTATAGGAGGTGCCTTGCTAATAAAAATTATTCTTCAATATTATATTAATAAAATAAAATATTGAGACTATTATTAGATCCAACTCATTATTGGTTGAAAATTATATTAGAAATAACACATTTTGTTTAACTGTTGTGATAGTGCCATCAGCAGTGCCCATCCTTCTCTCCTCACCCAAGGTCGATGGCGCATGAACAATCCCTTCCCTCTTCACAGAAATTTTATTGATTTTCCTTTTCTTCCGTGTTTTTCCTTAAGTTCATTGGTTTGAACTTTTGACTCTGATAATCCATAACACCTTCGAAATGTGCCTCCTCAAAAATTTAATCAACACCATTCAACCCTCTTCACCGCACTCCTGGGTAAGAAAACCGTCAAGAACAATGTTGGATAAAATTTGATTCTTTGGAGCAGTGATTTTACAAAACTTTGGAATGGAATTGAGCTTAGGAGGATCACAAAAAATATTATTTGGCATTTGAGGCAATATTTATTGCACTTAACTAATAATAGATGACGATTTTTAAATTTTATTTTGCAACTAACGAATAAGGAATAAAATGTTTATTTTTTATCTCAAATAATAAATAAATTGATGTTGTCTGCAATTTTCGCATTCATTATTCGAGTTTTCCAACTAAAAAATCGAATAAATTAATTGTAAACTATAAAATCTATTACCGAAACATTGGAGCGTTGTTCGTTTGGTCATCTGCCAGAGCAAATCATGTAATATGTATATGTTCATAAGATATAATTCTTTTAGCTCTTTTTAAAAATCTAAATATTACATATAAAAATATATCAACTACCTACTACGAATTATAAACACATTACAAAATTCCTTGCCTCCCCATTATTTAAATGTACCACTCTCTTCATCAACTATAATTAAAATCACTAAATAATCTATTTCTATAATTCCGACCTAATCGACAATAGGCATGCTGAAAGGAAAACTGGTGTAAACAATTTTCGGACCTTTCTTTGACTTTTCTTCATTTATCTCTTCAACGGATGATCAGTATTTCACAAACTATTTTCCGACTATTTAGATTTAGGCTAAAAGAGAAAGGAGTGTGAATATTTTTAAGTTTTTCTTCTCATACTTTAAACTATTTTATAACTGCCAAGAGATAGGGTAAATGGAGGAAAGGGTAATCAGCTTTCATGATTCAACTATTTCTGACTTATGCAGTCTAAAAGGAAAGGCGAATGAAAAAAACCGAGAAAATTGTCACACTTTTTTTCATTTCAGTCTTGTGAATTTAAAGAAAGGATATGAAATTGGGATTGTAAGTTCCATTTATTGTGGCCTTAACCGATTCGAGAACTAAATATCATGGAAAGAAAATCCTGCAAAAAAATCGAATTTCTTAAATCGCCTATTGTACTTCAAAGTCACTTTACCTTTCGCTCCAGTGTCTGCCTTCTTCAGCAATAAACCGCAATCCATGCAACGATCCATTGGCAAAGTAAATCTTTATCGCTCTGAATATGAAAGAACATATCCCCATCCTCAAATTAAAAAAGTAGGACTTAATGACTGCAGAAATAGATATACATACACATTTTTTTTAAAAAGAAAATATTAAAAACGGTTATATGGATTTGTTTACTGTTGAAATAGATACCTGTTTACACAAGGAGGAATACGGCTACTGTGCCTTGACAACTGTCGATACCAAATTATACTGGTGATTCGATTGGGTCATTAAATATTCACTATTTGATGGCTGTTTTGCCGTGACTGAGTTGTTATCTTTCCTGCTTGATGAGCTTTCCCACGTGAACCCCGCTGTTCGGCTGCCATGGCTACCAGAAGGGACCTTATCGATGCTCTCTCTTTGAGGTTAAGTGCATCTCTTATCAGCAGTCTCTCATTTCATTATCGTCCCGCTTGTCTTTTGTAATCGTAGCCGATAATGATTTTCGGTTCCCTCAAAACAAGATAGAGCTTTGGATAATGAAGTAAAAAGGTGGAGAAAAAATCTTTGTTTTAATTTTATAATTTAAAATTTAATTATATCCACTACTTTTACTATATTTATTTACACCTTCCTCTACCTCTCGGTAACACAGATTTTAGATAAAAGTATTGCGATGCTTCTGCCACTTATTAATGGCATTTCTTATTTCTTTCTATTGGAGGAGGTTGAAGTGATTAACCCCCACTAGTTTCTTCCACCCGTACTGGAAAGCTTTGGGTAGAGAGGAAAGAAACGGTCTGTTAACTTGTTCAGGGAAATATTCCTTCATGATGACGTAGAATCCAGTTTTCCTCGGTAGTATGGCCTTTATCGTCTCAACAGTGAAAATCATGACGATCCTCTGCAGTTTTTGAAACACCACATCGGGAAATGAGGACATGAGGATTTTAGAAAAAATAATATTTAATGTAAAAAGTAATTTAAAAAATCGTTAATAATGTCTGCTTTTATATTATTGTTTTTTTAATATTAATTTTTATTTCCTTAAAATTTTTGTTTCAGTTTTCAAAATCAAATGGAAATATATCAAATGACAGTTAAATTATCCTCTAAATGATAAATTTCGATTGTTTTGGTTGATTTTAAGTTTTAGATTAATCGAAAACCAAAAGAAAGGAGATCGGCATTGCATTAGAACATGTTCTACAAGTTTACAATCGACGTTTACAAAGTTTACAAAGTTTACATATCGATTTGCTCCTCTGGACCAAATCAATATTTTTTTCTGGATTCATTGTAACTTTTTTTCCACCTCCTTTTCGTGGAAGTATGTTATATACATAAATTTAATGCGCTTCTAGGAGAACACTTTGTTATGAAAATTTCATTAAAATAGTGACATAGGTTTTTCTGGCGCCATTTTGAAAAGAAAGGGCGGATGGTAACGTCGAGTTCCAAGAATTATCCATAGGTAGGCTATACAACGGATGGCTTTTTTTTCTATTCGAGTTTCGGATTCTATATATTTCGAAACTTTAAAACTCATATTCTATGAGGAGGTTAGTTTTTTTTTTTTATTGGTGGATTACAAAAGTGTATTATTGAAGATAAGAAATCAGAAAGCACTTAAAACAATGAATATTGTATTAAAAAATACTATGGATATCATTATTTATTTATTGACTTTTCTCACCGATTGGGACATTTTATAAATTAATTATTTTGTATAAAAAGTTTATATAATAAAAGGTGTAATATTAGTCTACCAATGTTAATTTTTTACGGATTTGGAAGATATATCTTATAACTCTTAAGGCTCAGGCAGATAGACAGAACGCGATATGGCGATCAGCGCTTTCAGTCTTCAAGTATTCAACGCTGTGGAAGATCGCACTCTATATACTCGCGATAATGGAATATACAGTAATACATCTATATTGCTAGATCGCCGCGAACAGCGATATCATATCGCCGAGACAGATATTATATCGCGTTCTATGAGTACGAGCCTGTAGCATACCTTTGACCTGACAGTTGAAAATATAATACGGGCACAAGGTCTTAGAGGTTGCAGTAAAAGAGGAAGAAAGTCGTTGAAATACCCACATAGCCCCAGATGGCTCGTAACACGTGGCGGATCAGGTAGTCCGGGTATGATTTAGTATGGCACACGTGTGATACACGTGGTAGCCTCACATCTTGACTACCAGTACCTCACCTGAATTTAGTCATACAAGTTTTTGACTAGCATTCAAGTCGTTTATACTATATTATCGCATTATTTAAGAATGAGAATATTTAAGGGATACTTCTTATGTATTTTAGTGATTAGAAAACATCCTATTTTATTTGAAGTGAAATATGTTATGATTAGTTGGCCACAAGTCTTTCGATTATATTATTTAATGATGTCACCTTTGTAAATAACTCATTTTATTATATTTTTAGCGGATTTTGTTAGCACTTTTATTAAATATTTATTATTAATTATATAAATATGACATGAGAATTTTCATTTGCCCAATTTTAGAAAACATTAATAAATTGTTTGTAATAATTTATTGTATTTATTTTTGCTTCATCACTACCAAAGGTAGGTAAGCATTTTATTCGTGCGAGAGGTTAAACAAATTTTTGTGCGAAAATTTTGACTTGCGTTTTACGTTTGACATCAACATTCAAATTTGGTTTTGTGTCTGTCTGTCTGTAGTCAAATCAATGTGATGTACATATCATCTAGTACCCTTCATCCGATGTTCATGAAATTTTAGGGATTATGGGGATTGGTGCTTCCCATTTCAAATTCCATCCAGCACTTCAGCTTACGCACGTGCAAACGTGTTTTTTTAGATATGCCAATATTTCAGAAACGGCTCTTTCGATTTAGTTCTAAGTTGGATAACAGGTCGGTATTAGTGAAAAAATAATGTATCAATTTTATTGAATTCTGTCTACTACTTTCTCTTATATATGCGCAAACGTGTTTTGCTTGATACGTTTATATCTCTTAACCAGCTAGTTCAATTTATCTCAAATCTGGAAGGAATTTAGGGATTGGCTAACTAATAATTAACTAAGTACCAATTTCATTAAAACTCTATCCACTACTCTCAAAAAAGAGAGTTCTGCTTTCGGATCAGTGAACGTATTATTTGACACGCCTATAGTTTGAAAACGGCTTGTTCATTTTGATCCAAATTTGGAGAATAATTCAAACATTGTTTAGTATCAATTTCATTGAATTCTATTTAATCATTAAGATTAATACAAATAATTGCTAACAATATAATGGCTGTGAAATTAGGAAGGCATTGATCATATGAAGTGGGAGTTAGGTTAAGACGATATTTTTATGGGATTATAAAATTTTAGGTTTTATTCAAAAAGTTAATTTATACTTTATTGTTTGATCGCATCCAAACGTTACTGGTATGGCACTTACTGTCGTTACTTAGATTTCGTGTATTTTTCATTAAATTTAAATTAATTTTTACTTTAAGTTGGTAAAAAAAAAAAAACGTCTTATTTGTGATTACGTTTATTTCTATTGAAGTTCAACCAGCTCTTCGTGGTCTCGATTTTCGACTTAAATATAAAAGTTGTATGAACTTCATAAATATTTTTATATTCCAGCTTAATTAGTTTTGTTCCGACTGAAGAAATGTATTAGTATTGTTAACTCCGCACAAACAAAAAGTTGCATTTTTCCTATGGATCTTTTGTTTCATCCATTTTACTTAACATACCTATTATAGAAATATCACTACTGTTGGTGCAAAAGATCGTATATTCAACTTTTATTCTATTTGTGCTAAAGGATGGAAATAGCAGAGTGCAATAAAATATGAAATTACACTAATTAATTGTAAAGAAAAAACTTTTTAAAAATCCTGAATCATCAAATATACAATCTGGAAATGCGGAACTCTTTCACATTTTAGTATTCGCTGATGAACAAAACTCGTGGATATCAAACCTGTATATGTTGATTTATTATTGATTTTCCGAAAACAGCTATTCCTAGAGATTTTATTCTCATACGAAAAATGTTATACTTTGTAATACAGATATTTTTTAGCCGATGAAAACGGTGAGGAAGCTATACTGACTTTTCTTGGCAAACTTTTTTTTTTTTTTGGCAAATACTGGTACTTTGACGAGACAGAATGCCACGTCACGTACTCTTTGACAAAGCTCAACTTAATTTTTATGGACTTAATCTTATAAACAAGGAAGTTTAGCCAGGAAATTTGTAGTCCATTAGGAAACTGATAAAAAAAGATCCGAATAAAACACAGAACTTAGCATACTTTAGTAACTTAAAAGTCCCCTTTAAATTATTTTAAGAAAAACAAACTTTGCTTTCATTTAAAGTAAATTTTGTCTGGTTTACTTGAAATTAATAAACCAATTAATAATTTCTTAAAAAAACACAAAATTTGAATTTTAACTTTTCTGCAAAATATTGGATCATTGTTTATATATATATATATATATATATATATATATATATATATATATATATATATATATATATATATATATATTTTTTTTTTTTTTTTAAGGTCTACTATCTCCCCTTAAAATATTTCCTTTTACTTATGGGGCACACTGTATATATCTACGAGTATATTAGGTATATGTAGAACATTCCTAATGTGAAATGAATGAGTCTTATTATGAATCAGCGGGAATGAATTATTGCTTTATTGAGTCAGGATGTTACCATCGGGAGTATGAGGGCCGTGGGGATCCGTTGACCTGACCATGTAAGTCCTTCTTGAACAAGGTCGTGCCCACGTCTGCTGCCCACGGCGCAAGGTGTCGTACGGTCGCAGTTCTAGGTCTTGTTCCTTCTCAATGTATGCTCTAAAGCCATTATTATTTATATTTATTGCACATTTTTGCCATTTTAAGATATTCCACTTGAGCATAGCCATTGGACAATGGTCATTAGTTGTTTTATGAAAAAATCGCGATGTTGGTTTTAAAGAAAGAGTGATACCGGTGATACTAGAGACCGGATTTTCGTGCAGTATAAATCCAAAATACGTAAAATTGTGTAATTAACACCTTAAAAAGTGTAA